CAGACAATTCCCTGTGTGAAAATAGCGCGATTTTCTCTTCTTTGCACCACACTCTGGAAATCACCCTGGAAATAATCCCAGAATAAGAGAAGCTGACCACTAAATACATAGGCAAAGAGTAAGATCTCTTACTGTTGTTGAATCCATGATATTCATTAGTGGGAACAGCAGGACAGGAAAGAGAGCTGTGACAGCCAACGGCAAGGCTTCCGTGCACCAAAACAGTGCCATCACTATGATAACATAACCACATTGGGCCTCCTAACAAAAGAAGAGCACATGCAATCAGAACAGACTGTACATCTCACTTAGGCTTTGAGAAGGCAACAGCCCATAATTATATTCATTGCCTGATAAAGGGATTTGGGAAAAGGTTATTTTCTATCTTTCTCTCCCATCTATCCTCCTACGCATGCAGATTCTAATCAAATTACAAACTATTCAACAACCTTGTCAGAACTGTGAGGAAAAGATTGGAGCCTCCAAGAAACTGAGGAAAAAAACCAAACTGGTGACTGAACCCTTCGTGATAATGGACTGGCAGTCCTTGCACAAGGGACTTCCTGATTTTGCTGATGGTGGTATTTTCTTTTTATATATTTCTGTCTTTGAGTTGCAGAAATAGTTACTGATCCAGTCAAGGTTTCTCCACCTTTTTCTCCGCGTGTTTCGGGACATGGCCCAGATGAACCCCAACTAATTTCAACAGCCTGGATTCCTTGTACTGTAAATACTTTTATCTATTTTTCATTGGATTTTTTTAGCTTAGTACCGACTTTGAAAGGCTCACTGACAAACTGGTCACAGATCAGTTTCAGCTTCCACTGGCTTTGACTTGTTTCTTTCAAGAAAGTATGATCCCCTATTTCATGTTACTCTCTTTCTGAGAAAACATTGATTTAGTTCTGCTTTGGACAACCACTCCAAATTTTATGTGAAAATATTTAACTTGGTCCCATACACTAAAAAGATTCAAAATAACATGTCACCACAGATTTTCATATGGCTGGGCTGATGCAGAAAGCAAGGAAAAGTAACACTGCAGGTTACAGTGTCTTCTCATTTTGGAACTAGCACAATAATGGGCGCCAGCAAATCCAAAGGAAGAAGAAAGTGGTTGTGTGGTCTTGGATCAAGGATGTCCACTAAAATATGCTGGGCAGTGTGAATGAAGATGTAGTGATGCTTATTGAGAAAACAATGAAGAGATGGAAATTGTAATGGCTAGATTACGGAGAAGTCAACCAAGGAGCTGGAATAGTGGCTGGCAGGATCCAACCTGTGATACGTTAGAACATGCTCAGGACGTCAGAACATGGCATGGAAGTTACAGAGCTGGTGAAGGGAAAGGACGAGCAGGGGAGCTGAACAGTCTGGAGGAAAGAAGATAGCAATCTAGGTGGTAAATTACCAAAGCAGCAGGGTTGGAGAAGTAAAGCTGAGAGAGATTCATGAAGGGATGAAAAGAGGCCTTTTTGAGCCTTATTTTTGAATGAGAGTTGTAAGAACCTTAATTATACACCCCAGCAAGCACTGAAAGCAGTTTTCCATTTTGATGATCTTTTTTTTCCCATTTTTGTTATGAAGAGAGGCCCATGGGTGCCTTTTGAGAGACCCTAGCAGGACTTTGGAACATATATCATAAGCACAGTGCTATTCTCTTCCAGCCTGCTGCGAACAGGCTCACAGTAAAAGGCTTTTCACAAAGTCAGTTGTCCTGTAAGGACATTCCTCTGTCTTTAGACAAAATCTTTGGCATTGTCTGCTCTCATTTGTAATGGTTTAGTGTCCAGTGCTATGTCATTATAGGACAGGTTAATAGCTCAACAGAACAGAAAAATGTGAGATTCCATCCTGTAAGTTGTTTGCTTACAACACTGCGTGCTGAGGTACCAGCTTTTTCTGCTGAGCAGTACCACGATGCACAATTCTAACACAAGAAATCTTCTTCTTGTCGCTGAGCAGTACCACGATGCACAATTCTAACACAAGAAATCTTCTTACAGATTGCAAAGGGAAAAGGCCAGGACCTTTTAAATTTTTGTGTTGCAGCTGACTACGTAGAAACCAGAGAGTCATTTTCAAAGAGGAACTGAACCAAGACTGCCAAGTCATTCCACAGGCAATACCAAGGACTTATTGTATGGTAACAATGACTCTAGCAAGTAAGTTAGCACTCGTGGCCTCAGAACAAAAAAAAAAATACCTCTCTCTTTCTGGCTACTTAGAACTTTTCTGATCCAGATCTCTCTTAACTTCAGTAACTCTTTGCCTATGGAAAGTTAACTAGAAAATAAGTACTTTTTCTGTTTTTCTTAGAATCATAGAATCGTTTAGGTTGGAAAAGACCTTTCAGATCATAAAGCTGAACCATTAACCCAGCACTGCCAAGGCCACCACTAAACCACGTCCCTAAGTGCCACATCTCCCTGGCTTTTAAACACCCCCAGGGATGGGGACTCAACCACTGCCCTGGGCAGCCTGTGCCAGGGCCTGACAGCTCTTTCTGTCTGACAGCCCTTTCGGGGAAGAAATTTTTCCTCGTATCCCATCTAAACCTCCCCTGACACAACTTAAGGCCCTTTCCTCTTGTCCTATTGCTTGTTACTTGGCAAAAGAGACAATTTTTCTTCTTAGTAAGCTTTTAAGTGATAGTTTAAGCTTAAGTTTATTTGCAGAGCAAGGGAATAGGAGGACATGCCTGATCTGTGACCACATTTCACCTCAGGCCAGTGCCACTCTATCATTTTTGCTTGCAATCCTCTGGTCATAGCTCCGAAGTCTCTGATAACACTCAGAAAAAGAGCTGTGAGGGAGAAGGAGTTTTGGGACAGGCTGCACAAAAGACAGGGAAGAGCGAGTGGAGTGAAGAGGGAAGCTTGGCAAAGGAGACTAGAAACTGGGAGTCAGGAGGGACTGGGAGACAGGCAGGCAGGCAGAGACCAGAGGAAAGAGCTATGACTTGACATCCAAAGAGCAGTGACAGGAGAGGTAGATTCGGACTAGCTACGTAATGATGCTGGACTGTAGTAAGAGACCTGAAGACCAGAGATAAGATCTGTCTGCATGAAGAGACTGGGAGTGGGGGAAGTAAGCCAGAGTGAAGCAGCAGCAGAACACTGGCAGTCTGCCTGCTCCCAGTGCTGTATTTAAACCATCCATGTCTCAGAAATACCTGTCCCACTGCTACAGGTTTTTGTAGCTAACTTTTTCTGAAGGAATCCTAAGCAAGGTGTCTTCCGAAACTTGACATTTTAGATTTTAAATCATTGGTTGCAAAGATTCTTACAGATATATGCTAAAAAAAGAGAGAAATACATATTGTTTTGTCCTTATGTATCAGAATGCCTTGTCCATCTGACCAAGAAAAAAATGCCTCTTCTGTCTGGCAATGACAACAAGGAAAAAATTAAAAGAGGTTGTGGACTGGATACTTTTAGAAAATCAGAAGGCGGATTAAAATTGAGCCTTAGATTGCAACTTAGGTTCACATGTATGAGCTTCAGCATAGAAAATCCTTTTCTAGATCAGTTAGATGCAAAGCAAAAGTTACAAAATTGCATGTCACTGAGCGTTCTTCTAGAATATGCAGTCACAGATGTATCTGTTCATCCATCCTGTTGCTTTTATATTCCCCCACTGTCAGTGGTCAAAGGGGTCTGCTCAGAAAAAAAAGATCTTCAAGCAATAAATGAAGGAAGCACCTCTGAGAAAGAATCTGTATGTTCTCTTCAGCTCTGTCACTCAAAAGGAGAGATTTGGAGATTTGGCTCTCAAATTCAATTTAAAAAATTCTTACCTTGGTAGGAACAGCCAGAGGCAGAGGAAGAAACAAAAGGGGTACAAGCACTATGATCAGGTATTTCCTGAAGGCTAGGGTCATCTGCAAGAAGCCAGCCATGGTGCTGGAGCTAGCCCAGTGCTGAAAGGTCCGAGTTCTGCTGCTGGAGACTATATAAACACTCGGGAGTATTAACCGTTGACCTCAGAAGGTTGGGTGTTGTTTTTGGAACTGTAATCGGAGAAAGAAGGAAGAGAACAAAGAAGGGAGGGGACAGCAAAAGAGTGTCAGACCAGGAACTTTCTTAAGACAATCTTCCTGATAACTGATAAATCCAGGAGAAAATTAACTCCTTGTGGACCAAGTAGGTTTATTAAAAGCATCCTGAAATGACCTACGCTTTGTTTAAAGAATATTAATGCTTTGGTCTTTAATAATGCCTTCTTTGTATAGGTACCGTTATTCCTCCCATAAAAAAGAGAAACGGCTCCCTCCATAATAGGTAGAAAATTGTTTTAAAAATATGTAGAGTACTGAAAAACACATCTGCATCTGTAGTACTCAAACATAGAGATTAGAAACATCTAGGCAAAATGCTATATGATCGTCCTTGTATGCGCTGAGAAATTCTTTGGGCAGCAAAATCCACTAGAGCAGAGCTCCTGTCACGAGATGCCACATCAAGTCCCCATGCCGAAAGGGACTTGTGGTCCTTACTGCCTGAGAGCAGGGACACCGTCTCTGTGTGGGCCAGGGGTGACCCTCACGACAATTCTGTTTTCTTCTACTCAGAGAGCAACAGGGGAAGTGCTGAGGCCTGGTCAGAGCTCCATTCCTCCCACATGGCAGCCCAGGACGCTGTAAGAAAGGCCTAGGGGCAAAGAGGGAACCCAGGAGCTCTGACACAGCCTGTGGTATCTCAGGGGATTGGGAAGGACTTGGCTACAGTGCATTGCTTTGCAGACACTGGGCTATTCTTTCTCACCTTTCTGATCTTGCAGGTTTATAGGCACAGCTTTAGTAGCTTGCAGGGTGTATTGGGCGGAAAAAAAGGTGCTACTGGGAAATTACCAGCACTTCTTGTCCCGGCTGCAAGAAACTTCCAAAATACAAGCACTAAATTACTTGGTTCTGTAAATACGCTGGAACGGAACTGAAGTTTTTCATTCCAAAGGGAGTGTCTTGTTAATGTCACTTTGATGGCTTTATTTGGTAGGCCATGCAAGCGCATACTTCAGATAATGATGATAACATTTCCATTTTATTGGTATAAATTGTCACAGCTCTGTTTATAGCTTACTCAAGCAGAGAGAGAGAGAAGCACAGACATTAGGTCATCTGGTGTCAGCTCCACAAAGAGCTTCTGCTGTTTCTCTCTCATCCCTTTTCTGCTGGGGCTTGTTTGCTTTCAGTAATGTGCTTATGGTTGAAAAACAGCGGGGTTTCAGTTGCCAGAGCTGCAAACTCACAGCTCTCTTGCGAGCCTGTTGCAAGGCATATTGCTCAGAAGAAACGGCTTCATGTTAAGTAACTGCCGATCCTGAGCTTTAGCATTTCACCCTCGGTACAAAAAGAACGAGAAAGAGCTTTCAAATGAATCCTATCTCCCCCCAGTTTTGCATCCACTTAATGTTGAATTAGTGTCTGAAAAGGTGCAGTGACAAAACCCGCCAAGGACAAAGTAATTTTTCTACTTTCTACCCTTATGTCCTAAGGTTGCAGGGAAAATCTGAAAGGCGGCCTCTTGCTTTCACATCTCTGTAATGCGAAGGTTGGCCTCCGGCTGCAGCCTTGCCCAGGGGATGGAAGCAACGCCGCAGAAGGCCCCCAGCTGATGAATCGCGCCTGTTCTTTAGAAGCAGCACGTCCACAGCGCTTGCTTCCGCTGCTACGTGAGTCCTGTTGCTTTCACGGATGCTATAGATGAACTCTGTAGGTGTGCTACTGCAAAACGAAGGGTTTATGTCTTCAGGGGGACTTGTTAGAGCTTCACCTGTACCCGTGAACACTCCCTCAGTGCTGTTAAAGGAGTGATGCCAATTTACATTAATTTGGAACTACTCCAGTTTATACAAACGGGTTAATCTAATACTCTGAATTGTGTTCTTTGAATTTAAAGAACAACTTGGTCTCTGCTTACTGATCCGCTCTTCGAGGCAGACCAAACCTAGCAGGAAACCTAATGGCACAGCCGAGACCTCTTGTGTGTTACAGCTTCTAAGTTATTTTGTCCTTTAGAAAAAGCAGTATTTTCTAACGTGCTGTGAATTAATAGAAGCGATTACACATTGCTACCGGCAACATTTTTTTCAGATCCTAGTGCATTTAAGATGATAACTTTCCTTTGGTGGGAGAACAATCGGCTTTTACGTTCTGGTTGCTTTCCCGCAGCGCCTAAGCGCTGGTGAAGTTCGTAGCGAGCAGCCGGGGCGCAGGGCCCCGCCGCCCCCCGCCGTGCGCCGCGCA